GCATGATGATATCTGTCTTTCCCCACTGAAGCAGCAGAAGGGCAGGAGGAGGCTGGGAATTGCCACCCTGGCTGGGAAGACACCGCAGCAGAAGCCAGGCCAACAAAGCCCACAGGCACTGGGGAGGGCTCCTCAGAGGGGCAGAAAGCGTCAGCTGGAGAAGAGGACTCGGACAGTGGTGGGGACGAGTCGCCGGAGGAGGATGGCGAGAGCCCCTGCGAAGTCGAGGCCAAAGAGGACGGGAAGGTGGCTCCTGAGAAAGCCAGAGTGCCGCGGGCACAGCACTTCAAAGGTAGGATGCAGGGCCCTACCAGCAGCTGCTGGGGCTTTGTGTTGTGAACAAGCAGCACAGCCTCGAGCCTGGCGGGAAAACGTGGGCCAGGCTGGTGGGGCCTGGTGATCCTGTGCCATCCAGCAGCCCCACGTCTTCTTCACATACTAGTGCACTGTCCCCCCTGCCTTCTACGCAAGCAAACACGTCCCTTCTTTTCCCCGTCCATAACCACTGCCAGCCTCAGGCAAAAGTCTGTCTGGCTTTGTGGACCAGGGGCCCGTGGGCAGGCCTGATTTAGGCTGCGCTTTGCTAGTTTTGAGCTGTAAAGAGCTCACCTGAACCATGCTTGGGGTGGGGACAGTCCATCCAAGTAGGTGGCTGCTGTGGGACCATATATGTGTATAAGCCCTCACCCCTGCACAGCTTGATCAGGGAGAGAACATCTGTCTGTGCTCTCCATCTCTTCCCTGCTGATGGCTCCGCCTCCTCTGCTCTCACAGGGGATGTCGCAGAGGGCTCCGAGTACCTCTACAAAACCCACATGTGCCCCGAGTGCAAGCGATGCTTCAAGAAGCGGACGCACCTGGTGGAGCACCTCCACCTGCACTTCCCCGACCCCAGCCTGCAGTGCCCCAACTGCCACAAGTACTTCACCAGCAAAAGCAAGCTGAAAATCCACATGATGCGGGAGACGGGCGAGAAGGCCCATCGCTGCCCGCTCTGCCACTACAGCTCGGTGGAGAAGAATGCCCTCAACCGCCACATGGCCAGCATGCACGAGGACATCTCCAACTTTTACTCCGATGTTTACTCCTGCCCCGTCTGCAATGAGAAGTTTCGGCTCAGCCAGGCCCTCAAAGAGCACTTGAAGACTCACAAAGCCGAGCCCAAGAGGCTGAGCTGCTTCCAGGGGGGCTGCGACTACTCCGCAGAGGACCGCAAGGAGTTTGTCCGTCACCTCAAGGATGCTCATGGCATCAAGGCGGTGGAGTGTAAGTACTATGCCTGCTCCCTGCTCTTCGGCACGGCTGAGGCCATGGAGGCTCACCGAAAGACCCACTATGCCTTCCACTGCCAGCAGTGTGACTTCATCTGCTCCAACAAGCACGTTTTCCGCAAGCACAAGAAGCAGGGGCACCCGGGCAGCGAGCAGCTCCAGTGCAGCTTCTGCCCCTACGCCACTTTCAACCCCGTGGAATTTCACGACCACGTAGGCAAGATGCACGCCAACGAGAAGATCCACAAGTGCACCGAGTGCGCCTTTGCCACCGCGCACAAGAGGGTGCTCATCCGGCACATGCTGCTGCACACTGGTGGGTGTCTGCTGCGGGGGTCCCGAGAGCTGAGCTGGGATGGGGGGGCTTCTGTCCCGGCTCCGGGTGGGCAGGGAGGGCTCGGTCAGGGCTTCCGGGTCCCATTGCCGGCTCTGCCACCCTAGCATCACTTGGCTGAAGTCGTGGCATGCGCCGGTCCCTGCTGTTCCCCCCAGCTCCTGCTGAGCTGGTTTCCCTGCAGGGGGAGGCAAACCACGTTGCTTTTACCTGGCCATCACGCTGAGGGCGTTCTTGTGTTGCGTGTAGGAGAGAAACCCCACAAGTGTGAGCTCTGCGACTTCACGTGCCGGGATGTGAGCTACCTGTCCAAGCACATGCTGACCCACTCCAATGACAAGAACTTCATGTGCACTGAGTGCGGGTACATCACCAAGTGGAAGCACTACCTGAACGTCCACATGCGCAAGCACACTGGAGATCTCCGGTATGACCCTGGCTCCTTGGCCTGGCAGCATAGTCAGGGCTTTCCAAATCCTGCCTCAGGGGTCTGCTGCTCTGGGCTGCAATGTGTGCCATGCTCTCTCATGCCAGGGGGATGGCTTCAGCCTGCTCTGTCTGGCACCTAAGAAATGTGGTCTTTGAGCTTGCAGGTTGTTGCCAGCACAGCGCTGTGGAGGCAAAGTTATTTTTGGTGTCTCTGTGCCACCAAGAGGGTGTATTACCACGTCAGTGCAGCTCTGAGTTTGGGTTCACAGGTTCTGCCAATGTTGGTGGGCCAAGGCCAGCTTGGGCACATGCAGGACTCTGCCAAAACATGTTTTTCACCTCCATATTATCACCTTTGGGTCTAGTCTTCCTTCAGAGATGCTGGAGGTGCGGCTGGTGTGACACATGGGGGTGGGGGTGATGTGGTCACTGTATGGAATGCTCAGGGAAGTTATCTGCCATCCCCAGGCTGGGGGTATAAAGCACCGGCAGTGCCAAGGGCTGCCGCAGGGAGGAATTGCGTGTGGTAAGAGCTGCCAGGACGGCAAAGGCCAGATCTGGCAAAGAGAACAGCACCCTTCCCCGTGTGTCGGGGACGGGGAAGCAGAGCTCAGCGTGCCTGGCAGGGCTCGGTCTGCCCCGGTTCGTCATGCTGCCTGACCGATTCCGCTTTCCCCACAGGTACCAATGCAACCAGTGCTCGTACCGGTGCCACCGTGCTGACCAGCTGAGCAGCCACAAGCTGCGGCACCAGGGCAAAAGTCTGATCTGCGAGGTGTGCGGCTTCGCCTGCAAGCGCAAGTACGAGCTGCAGAAGCACATGCAGGCAAAGCACTCACAGAACTACCAGGTGCCCATCTTCCAGTGCCAGTACTGCACCTACCAGACCAAGTACAAGCAGGCGCTGCTCAACCATGAGAACTGCAAGCACACCAAGCAGAAGGAGTTTCGCTGCGCCCTCTGCTCCTACTGCACCTTCAGCAACACCAGCCTCTTCTTCCACAAGCGCAAGATTCATGGCTACGTCCCCGGTGACAAGGACTGGCTGGAAAACTACGCCAGCAAGGAGCTGGAGATCAGCTCATCCGAGGCGCTCTTTGGCTGCGAGCTCGGCGCAGCCCTGCGTGTGGATGCCCACTCGCCCCTTGCCGGCAAGGAGCAGTGGGCAAAGGCAAAGCCGTCCCAGCTGGAGTCCCAGAGGGAAGAGGGCTACCAGCAAGCGCTCGTGGTGCCCCTCCTTAGGCAGGATGCCGCTCCACCGGAGAGCGGCAGCGAGGCGGAGAGAGGTGTGGGCGAGGGGGAGCAGAGCCGTCCTGTTGCTGGCGATGCCCAGGGAGATGACTGTGTGCGAGAAGACGCTGCCACGGGCTCAACTGAGCTTGCTGCTTCTGAGCATGTGGCAGAGAGCTGCACCTTGCACTTGGAGGCGCTGAACGTCTCATCTGACCCCCTCCTGGAGCATTTGACTGGAGAAGCCTGCGCGGCACAGCCAGAGAGTGTGGAAATGCTGTCCTGTAAGGAGCCTCCCGCAGCCTATGAGATGCTGGGCTCCCAGGATGACCTTAGCTTGGAGGACAATGACAATACACTCGAAGACATCCCAGACTTTGAGGAAGAGGAGGCAGACGTACGGGAGGATGAGGCGGTGAAGCTGGAGGGCAGTGTAGCGGCAGGAGACAGCCAGGGAAAAGATGCCCTGAGGCAGGCCACGGGCCACCTCGAGGGGTCCTGCTTGGACCACCACAGGCTGGTGGCAGACACCGAGATGAGAGAGACCGGCCAAGCAGAGCTGCCGGATGCCTGGCTCAGCATGCTAAAGACAGCTGAGCAGAGCCACCTGCCTGTCCCAGAGGATGTGGCCAACTCCGGCGATGATGTCGGTGCTGAAGGCTCTGCGGAAGCAGGACAAGGAGCAGGCAGAGACGCTGGTGCTGGAGGGCAGGGTGCAGATGCTGGTGGTGCAGTCGGAGAGCCAGGTCTTTAAGTGCGAGAAGTGCTCATACATCACGCGGAAGGAGAAGTCCATGTCCCTGCACTCCAAAGCCAGCTGCCAGAGCCGCCGGGCACCGCTCGTGTGCCGCGAGTGCGGCGCCAGCTTTAAGCAGCAAAGGGGGCTCAACACCCACCTCCTCAAGAAGTGCCCGGTTCTCCTGAAGAGGAACAAGATCCTCAAACCGGCTGGTCAGGAGCCACTTGGGTTGTGCCAACCTGTTGACCAGCTTGGTGATAATGGTACAGAAACAGCAGAGAGCGAGAAGGGAGGCTCGGAGGAGTCCAGGCATGCCGAGAGCCCTTGGGAAGCTAAACTGCTGCCTGATAAGACGCAGGCAGCAGGCAGTCCTTTGGCTGGGGACCGGGCATCGGGCTGTCCTGCCCCTGAGGAATCCCTGCCGAGTGACAGCACAGAGGTGGCAGAAGAGCCTCCCCAGCAAGCTGATGGGGCTGAGCCTGGTGGAGCTGCTTGTGTCCCCCAGCCTGGGAAACCCTTGGAGAAATACCGGCTGGAGGGAGGGAAGCTGCGCTGCAACACCTGCTCCTTTGTGTGCTCCCGTGTCTCCACCATCACCTCCCACGTGGAGGATGGGTGCCGGAGCCTGGAGCAGTTCTGGTGCTCCCTGTGTCCTGAGGCCTTCCGCTCCCGGCGGGCCCTCAAGAGCCACTGTGCTGAGAAGCACATCGTGCGTCCTGAGGAGGATGGACCCCAAAGCACCAAGGTCCCTGAGGAGGACCCGGCCGGCGTTGAGCCCAGCCAGCCCAATGAGCTCCCGCTGGATGTGGCCCCCCCAAAAACCACCCTGCCCAAGAGGAGGCGTTTCTCCTGCCCCACCTGCCCCTTCACCTGCCACCAGGAACGGGCCATGAAGACGCACAAGAAGAGGGGCTGCGTGGCGCTGGGCGAGTTCCGCTGTGCCTCCTGCCCCTTCACCTCCAAGGCGGCCAAAGCCTTGCGGCTGCACCGC